CTCAACTGATAACCCATGTGCCTTTGTTTCCCGACTGATAACCAATGTATCTTGTGCTTTTCCACTGCCCTGGAGTTTGAACTCATTGTATACTTAAGAATTTGTGACACCACCCTATAGTTAAAGATCTATCTAACTGCTTCATGTGCTACATGACTGCCGCAAGTGCTACGTGCAAAAATGCTGTGTAAACCCTGAGCAAACACTGAACCAATGAATTCAAACTGTGCTTTCATCACCCAATGAGAAGCTGATACCCAGTTGTATTCCCCTAAAGTGTATAAAAAACCCCAACTTTGTCTGCTCCTGGTCGGCTCCTCTATCTCTTGCCAGAGATAAGAGTCAGCCCGGAGCGCAATAAACCTCTTATCTCTTGCTGTTGCATCAAAAAAAAAAATAATGTTAACATTTTGGTTTATATTTCAACCCTTTTTAAGACAATACATGTTGTTGTTATGTACCATTGAGTCAGAACTGGCACAGAGCTCACCCTCCAGTGTACTTTTAGAGTCATAAATTACCTCCCTTTCTCCTAGGGAGCAGCAGGTGAATTTGAACTGCATGCCTTTGGGTTGACAGTCCAACTCCTTACCACTCAGCTACCAGAGCTCCCTTAAACAGTTTTATAAATAGAAACACAATATACCTATCATTTAGTAATAGACATTTTGCATGTTACAACATTTCCTCTTTGTGATACTTTTCTTTAATATTCAAAGTCTAGTTTAAAAAAACTGAAGTGCTCTGATTATATGAAAGTGAAGAGGAATAGATGACATGATCTAGAGATCCATTTGGCTCTAGTCCGTGACTACAATACAGCAGCCTCTTAAATGAAAGTTTTGTTGTAATTAGGTATGCTTGAACAAGACTTTGACATGAGTGTAGAAACCATCCCAAGTCACTGGACTGTATTTAAATAGCACTTTGAGGTTTTACAAAAAGTTTCTTAAATGTACTTAATTTTTATAATAACCTCTCCCTTCTTTGTATCCATAAAAAGATAATTTTCTATGCTATTGTTGCTTTCTTATTTGTCTAGAGCTAGCCAACATGGAAGAAGATCCCAGATCAGCTGGAGTTGCCACTTTTGTTCTTCAAGAAGAATTTGATAGATATTCGGGCTATTGGTGGTGTCCAGAAGCTGAATCAGGTAAGGGAGTTCAGAGAAATATATATAGATTGTTTAAAGTCTTGAGATTCAACTACCAGTTGCTTAAATTTACAGATTCCAAAACTTGGATAATATATTCTAAGAGATGAAGATTTTGTATCCTACCAGTAGGTCTAGCCATATCTTGCTATAAGGAATTCTAGTAAAATGTTTGCATTGTGGTTCAGTACCTTAGATTCCTCTCCTGCCAATTTTTCATCTAGAAGTTGATCTCTTGGTAATGTTAGTGATAACATTTATTGTAACAAAATAAGAATATTGCAGCTTAATGAGTTACTTTAAAACCATGGTTGAACTGGTTAGTCTATGTGAGTAGATGGCCAAGTTATTGTATGAATGAATAAGGAAAAAAAGGAACTCAATAAATTTATAAATATTTCACTGTTAAAATTTTTGAGAAACCCTTAAAAAACAAACACAAACACCCAACAAGAAAACAACCTTGAGAGACAATTCTCTGAAGCAATAACTTTCAATTTTTTTTACCATAATCCAGTTAAAAATTTATTTGACGTGGTGAACCAATATCCCATACTTTACTACATATATATGATAAGTTTACTGATGTTTGCTCATCTCATGTGTGATGCGCTTTGATACAATGTAGTCTTTGCTGTTTTTCTTTAAATGCTATTTATGAGTCTCTAGTGGATTTCATGACCAGTTGTCACATGTAGATGACTTTAACAAACGAATTTATCTAGGAGGCTAAAGGTCCAAATTCAGGATGCCAGCCCTAGGGCCAGGGCTCTCTGTGTTGGTTCTGGAGGAAGGTCTTTGTTTCCTTCATCTATAAATGCCAGGTTCCCTGGAGCTTACCATATGACTCCCAGGCATAAGGACCTTGGTCCAAAGAACATGCTTCATTCTTTATTGTTTTACACAATGGTACTGAGGTCCCACTTTGAGCTTTCTTTCCTCCTCTTTTGTCTCTTGTGAGATAAAAAGTATTAAGGACTATACCTCAGTTAAACTCCTATGAAATCAATTCATATCTGTGACCTGATTAAGGGTGTTACATCCCACTCTATTCCGCTTACAATTCATTGGCTGATCATATTTTGTGGAGTGACTACATTATATGACTGCTTTGAATCTTGCCTCATTAACATTGTAGAGATTAGGATTTATAACACATACGATATAATTAGTTTATCCTGAGAATCTGGCTGAGCCAAACTGGCACATATTTTGAGGGTACACAGTTCAATCCATGACACCCAGATGGATAACAAATAGCAATCTGAACACTTTATAACCATGGAAGAATAGTCATGTTTAAGACATGGCTTGAATTCAGACATTTTATTTTTTTAAATTTTAATTAACTTTTATTCATTTTAATGAACATTAACAGAGATTTTGGATTTCCATTCATTCATTGTTGCACTATTTTCTTTTTTTTTTTTTGCACTATTTTCTCTACCCTCCCCCCAGTTTACTCCTCTTTTTTTCCCCCCCTTGAAAGTCTGTTTTAATTGTCCCATTGCCACAGTGCTTGTCAAAGCCATTTCTGATTAATTTCCTTTGTCAGTGTGTCTTTTGCCATTCCCTATCACTCCTCCCTGAGAGAGATTTCACCCTGATTCATAAGGAAAAAGGGATGGCGTATTCTCTTAGCTACTTCCTGCTGAAAATGGATGCTTCAGGTTTCAGGGTGAAGATCTTCTCTCACTACTCTAAAGGGCCCCTTTGGCAATAGGAAACATGTAGACTATTGTGGAGATTGATTTTGGAATTTAGATGCACTGTTATCAATTGTGTTTAGCCATACATGTTCATATCCTTGAAGATGCATCATGGAACTATTGCAGCCTAGAAGACACATATTTAACTAACAAGTTAAAAGTACATGAGTCAAAAATTAAAAGCAATAATATTCCAAGTAGAGGTTCTAACAGTGGCACAAATCAAATTACAGAGGGAAGGTAGTTCTTAAAATAAAAGGCTTATTGCAGACATTTTATTTTAAAAGACAAAAATCTTGCCATAATTTTATTTGTTAGAAGATTTGAAAAAAAAAAAAGATTTGATATGAATAGAGAAACCATTCAAAACAACTGGATTCTATTTAAATAGTTTTTTAAAATTGGAAATATTGTAATTAACATTTTTAAAAACAATGTGCTCATTTTTAAGGTATGCAAAAACCAAAATATTTCAAAAAAATTTCCCATCTTTATGTATCAACACTATTGTTAGTTTTTGCCCTCCAAAATGAATAGCCTTTAAACTAAAAAAAATTACTTAACAGTAACTCATCTTACTATTGCATATAATAGTGATATCATCATATATGAGAATTTAAAGATTTTATACACAATTTCTTTTTCTCCATGGGAAAGTGAATATTAGAGTGAATGATAATGGCTATGATTACACTCTGAAATAATTCTTCTAAATCTCTCATATTTAAATTCCTATAAAGCTCCAAATGGTGGCAAAATTCTTAGAATTTTGTATGAAGAAAATGATGAATCCGAGGTGGAAATCATTCATGTTACATCACCTATGTTGGAAACAAGGAGGGCAGATTCATTCCGTTATCCTAAAACAGGTATAGTATTCTCTTGGCATTCACATTCACTCTTTTCTTCTCTCCTAACAAGATTCTATTATTATCCAAAGATGTAGTCAGTATTGGTCATTGGTGAAGTATTACATGTTGGATTGCTACCCAGGTGATCAGAGGTTTGAATCCACCAGACTCTCCTAAGGAGAAAGATGAGGCCATTTCTTTCCATGAACATTTATAGGTTCAAACCCCCAGGGGAGGCTTGCATTGAATCAGAATGCACTCAGCAGCAGTGGGTTATAGCCTTAATTAAGATTACTTCATTAAATGCCATTGTATTAACTATAGCCTCCTTCCCGTTTTTCATTATTTTATAAGAGATTTATACAAAACCATTTACTTTAAGGAATGAATAAGAAGCTACTTTTATTAGCAAATGAAGTGTGTGTGAGATAACAGATCAGTTTTAATCCTAGTTCCTGAAGGTATACAAGAGTATGCTCTCTAAATTTTGTAAGCCTATTTTACAATCATTCAAGTGTCAACTATGCAATACCACTTAGTATCTCAAAATCAGGAAATATACTTTCAAATTGTTGAAACATAATCCGTAAGATTAAAAACAAAATCAGAAACCATCACAGTAATTAGCAGTTAAGAGTTTTTCTATTTTAGTTCTTGATTTAAAAGTCAGTATCTGGTAGGACAGTTTGTAGGAAGTTGCACTCCTAACCCAACTGGCACCTCTCTGGCAGTTCAGCTCTGCCAGGAGCTCCACAGGAGAAAGATAAGCCATCTCCTTCTGTGCTATTTACAGCCTCCAAAATCCCTTGGAGGGTCAGTTATGAGTTGGTTTTGATTCAGCAAGACTGAATTTTGAGGTTTTGATCCAGGGGTGCAGAAAGTGATTTTAGATTCTCATTGTGAAGTGGTACTATATTAGAAGGTTTGTCAAGTAGGTATGTGATTGGTCAGAGTGGGTACAGCCAGGAGCAAAACAAGTCAAGTTCTATCACAATTTCTGTAGCTTCCACATTTTTTTCTTTTACCAGTTAAAAGTGAGCAATGGGGGGGAGGGAAAAAGTGAGCAATGAGAATTACTTATCTTACATATATGGAGCATATGTTGAGAAAGACATTTGCTTACAAACATGTAAAATATTTGTTAATTAGTTGGGTAAGAAAATAATGTATATAGCAAAAATGTGAATCATTTCTGGCCTTGGAAAAGTCAGTTCCATAGCATATAAAGATATTTAAGGGATTGTATTAAGGGTGCTCCTTAGAGTCAAAGATACAGAAACTGCATGTCATGTATTTTGGACATATTGTCCAAAGAGACCAGTCCTTGGAAAAAAAGACATCATATTGGGAAAGGTGGAGGGTCAGGAAAAGAGAAAACCCTCAACAAGATGGATTGACGCAGTGACTTGGGCATGTCAGAGATGGTGAGGGTGATGCAGAGTGGGACACAGGTCACTATGGTGGTTTATGGGGTTGTTGCGAGTCAAAGTTGACTTGATGGTACAGTGTAACGGGCCATTGAGTTAACAGAAACAACAACATTCTTAATTAGTAGTTTTTTTCTCTTGCTATTGATAGTATTGATAGACATAATTTCCCTTCTTTACTTTTTTTAAACCTCTTTTTAAAATTGTATTATACACAAAGCACATTCCTTTAGTCAGTTTATATATACTTAAGTGACATTGAGTCCATTCTTCAAGTTTTGTACCCATTTTTACTTTTTGTTTTTTCAGACTGTCCATAACCGTTAATATACCTACAAGCAAAACCCTCCTCTCTCTCTTTCCCTACTGTTCCTGGTAACCACTGAATCCTTTTGGGTATATATATTTCATATAAGTGATATCAGACAGTGTTTACTGTTTTTGTCTCTGGCTTATTTCACTCAGCATAATGTCCTCAGGTTCATCTATGTTGTAGCATGCATTAGAAGGGGCTTCATTCTTCTTTGTGGTTGAGTAATATTCCCCTGTATAAGCTGTTATTTGCTTACCTATTCATCTTTTGATGGACATTTTGATTGTTTGCACTTTTGGCTCTTGTTATTAGTGTGTGCAGTGAACATCCATGTACATGTGTGGGAGGAGGGTAGAGAGAATAGTGCAACAATGAATGAGTGGAAGCCCAAAATCTCTGTAAATGTTTATGAAAATTAATAAAATATAATTATAGAAGAAAAAAAAATAAAATTAAATTAAAAAAAAATATTTGAGTTAAAGATTTGAGAGTCTTGCTCTATAATACCCTCACATATAATGTTCATTATTTAAAGTAAGAAAAAGGTCACTCTGGAAGGCAATTTGGTATTTCCTAAAAAAGTTGAACATAGACTTCCGATGTAACCCAGCTAGTCCACTGCTTGGACTATATCCCAAGGAAAATAGAATTGATACACAAATGGAGATTTGTACACATATGCTTATAGCAGCGTTATTCAAAATAGCAAGAACATGGAATCAGTCCAAGTGTCCGTCAACAAACAGATGGATAGAGAAATATTCACAGAGTGGAATACTATGCAGCACTAAGGAGCATCAGTTCATAAAATATAACATGGGAGTCTAGAGAGCATTATGCTGAGTGAACTTCAGGCTCAAGGAAAAATACTATGTAAGACCCTTATTGTAAAAATAGAAATATAACTAGTAGGATGTATATAAAAGTCCAAAAGTGAAAGGGGGGGAGGGTGGGCCAGGGAGACAGAGAGTGGGAGGGAAGTCAGTCACTAGGATAACAGAATTGAGGGGGCTGTGAAAGGAATTAGAAAAGATCCAAGGGAAACGGGAAGATGGATAATAGTAGCCATAGATCAATCGTGATTAATTTATAAAACACAATATAATGAATGATTGTATGAAACACAATTTGAATGAAGGAATGTGTGAAAAACAGTGTAAGTGAATAAAAGACAATGAATATAAATTTTATATGCAGACAACTATAAAAAAAGTAAAAAGGAGTGATCTTCCAAAACCAGTTTGATTAATTTAGAGATACATTACTGTTCCTTTTTCTCTCTATAAAGGCACACCAAATCCAAAAGTCACTTTTAAGATGTCAGAAATAATGATTGATGCTGAAGGAAGGGTAAGTAAAAATGTTGACTTTTCATGTCTTTTAGACTAGTCAGTCATGTAGCGTTTTTTAGATATCCTGCTTTAAAAAAAAGACAAAACAAAACACAAAACCTTAATTAGATTTGCTTAAACATCTGTGGATCATAATTTCAAATGGGCCAATTTCTTTCTTTTAAAATTTCCTGCTGGTTCCCAAGCAATATGATGTGCATAGTTCTTTCTTTGCCTTTGTTTATTTGCCTATCAATGTTAAAAAAAAGTACTGATGCTATTGAGTGGTAAGTTACTTTATATGTTGTTGCATAGATGTCTGTGGTGGATTAAATATCCCACATTTTTCTTGTCCATTTGGACACTCAGATGTTTATAAACTGCATGCATACAAGATTGGTTAGCAAGTAGTCTTCTTTGCCAGTCTTTTTTTTTTTCCGCAAGTAGTCTTCTTTGCCAGACTTACAAAGATTTTTTTTTACCAAGGATCATTTCATTAATGTAGTATACTAATATATTTTAGACTAGGATATAGGGAACTAGATAATATTTTTCTTAGATACAAGATTCTAAAATGACTCCTTTGATTAGTTACTAATCAAGGCTTCTATTATTATAAACCTATGAAAGACTTTTAGACTGTGCTGATTTTTATAGTGGTGATCTCAAAATCTAACATTCTGCTGCTAATCCAAAGACTGTGGCTCTTTGTGGTTCAGAGTTACCAACGGTTCTACGGGAGAAAGATGAACAGGGCCCTCCGATGCAGTTTATAGCCTCAGAAACTCTAAGGAGGGTCAGGTATAAGTCAGTTGTAACTCAGTGGCATGAACTTGAGGGTTTTTTTAATTTGTTTTTAAATTCTAGTGATTAGAACTTTTTTAGGTATAAGGGCATTTATATCAGTAACTTTCACCTTAACTGCTAATTTTTCAGTATCATATTTTCCTTTTTAGGGACCTTGGTATATTAACAGTAGTTGTTCAAATAGACAGTGGAGCTGATTACTTAATCTAAATTTTTATAACCAGATTTTGTTTTTAATAGATTATAGATGTCATCGATAAGGAATTAATTCAGCCTTTTGAGATTCTGTTTGAAGGAGTTGAATATATTGCCAGAGCTGGATGGACTCCAGAGGGAAAATAGTGCGTATGTTAAATTGCCACATTTTTACAACTAATTTGAGAATCCAGACTTTTAAAAATGTCTGTTCTATTAAATTTGCCTTGCAAGTAGAGCTCACTTCACATGGAAATTTGTTGCATGCTATTATCTTAACATGGAATTTTAAAAGAAATTTTAAAATTAGAAATTTTTCTTGAACTGAGTGGATTTGTAGTCTTAAAATTTTTTAATTCTGTTTCTCATTTAGCCAGTTATAGTTTCATTTTAATTAAAGTGAATAACTTTTCCATTTTATGCTTGAGAGTGTACTTTATTGTATCATTTGAGCAGGCTACCTGTGGCTTTCAAAATTTAAAAGAAAACCACTTTTTAAAAATTTTAAGCATGAATTCTTTTTAATGAATTAAATTGATAGTTTAACATATACTAAAGCAGTTTTTCCATTGTGATTAAAGAAATAATAAGGGTCAGGGGAGAGAGTACAAGAGTATTGTTAATTTTCTGAAATTTTGCTGTATATCTGATGTTTCTTTCTTTATTTCATAAAATAGTGCATGGTCCATACTGTTAGATCGCTCCCAAACTCGCCTACAGATAGTGTTGATCTCGCCTGAATTATTTATCCCTGTAGAAGATGATGTCATGGAAAGACAGCGGCTCATCGAGTCTGTGCCTGACTCTGTGACACCACTGATTATTTATGAAGAAACAACAGACATCTGGATAAATGTACTCATTTCAGAATACTTTCTGCAGTTCACTAAGTATTTTCTTTTTTAAAAAAATTTTTTTCTTAGATACTAAAGCAAATTATGTTTTATAACAAACTATCAAAATGGATTTTTAAAAAAATTTTTTTTTAATGTTCAGAGGAACCATGAATATTATTTCCTTAGTTTGAACACTTCAAGTCAGAATGATGGTTCCAAAGTGGAATGGTTTGTGTGTAGAAGGTAGAGTCTGGCTGGCAGGATGTCATTGTTCCTAGACATATCAGATATTAAATACACATCTTCATCATTATTGCTTCTGAGAGGACTTTTTTCTGAGAGGTTTTGTCCATAAATACACTTTGAAGTAGACAAACTGTATACCAACATATACAAGTTTGAGATTGGATTTTGCCTGTGGTGATTTACTAGCAAAAACAAAATTAGTCTAGCTCATTACTCAAAACAGATGATCATTGAATTTAAGAATGACATACTTCAAAAGACTGCCTATTTCTATTTTGAAAATAAAATTTTAAATCAGTTTTTCTTATCATTTCAATAGTGTATTTATTTAGTAAATCATGGACCATGTTTTATGGGATTACAAAGATGATAAGAAAAAACCATTTTGTTATATTTTTATATTCCTCCATTTGGAGACATTTCTTTTTCAGTGATGGAATTTTGGGCAGTAAATGCTGAAAAACCTAGGCAAAATCTCCTAATTGTAAACATGGCATGCATGCACCACTGCACTGACAGATTTAAAGTATTTTTATAAGTTATTCTTGCTTAGCCTTATTGAATTGTCATTTACTATTTTCATTAATGTGTATAGTAAATGAATCTATTCCTTTTACAGATTCATGACATCTTCCATGTTTTTCCCCAAAATCATGAAGATGAAATTGAGTTTATTTTTGCCTCAGAATGCAAAACAGGTTTCCGTCATTTATATAAAATCACATCCGTCTTAAAGGAGAGCAGATATAAACGATCCAGTGGAGGACTGCCTGCCCCAAGTAAGAAGTCTAGTCTTCTCAAATTTAAAAAGAAAAAGCCCTGGGTAGGAACGGGTAATAAAATGTCTCCTCTGCATCAATAAACTTACTTAACATAAATTGAGCTATAATATGAATACATTAATGTGTAAAAATGTAAGACAAAGTTCTCAGTGAATATAAAATAAAATATTAACAGTAAGAAATATTTGAGTAGTGGTGTTGTGTGCTGTCGAGACAGAACTGACCCATAGCTGACCCTTCAGGGGGTTTTCCGTGGCAGTAAATTGCACAAGAGGAGATTGTCTGTCCTCCCACAGAGCAGCTGGTGGATTTGAACTGCTTATCTTTGCATTGGCAGCATTTTTACTTTCTGTTTTTATTTTTACCATAGTTTTTAATTTTTTTAAAATTGGTCCATTTTCTTTTTTCTATTTTAAAAACATTATATATTTTTTTAACTATTTTTATATATGCTGCTTTCAAAATACTCTGCATCTATATTCAAATTAATTTCTAGTTAACAGTTTGCCAAATAGATAAAATTATTTTACCTAAGGTTAAATGAATTATTGTGTCACCTGACACCAGTTTTTCTTTAAAAATTAGTGGGTTGTTTTTTGGGGTTTGTTTTTTTTTTACAGAATAAATATATAAAAGCCTAGAAAAGGTGAAATGATACATCTTTGGGATTTTTTAAACAATTGAATTACAGTTTTCTACTTTAATTATATATTTTGTTTTAGAATTTCTCTTTCTCATTGCCATCTAGTCAGAACTGACCTATAGCTGACCCTCCAACAGATTTGTGGAGGTAGTTAATCATATGGGAGGAAATTGCCCTTCTTTGTCCCATGGAACAGCTGGTAGGTTCCACCTGCCTGCCTTTGGGCTGTCAGTGCAACTCCTTACCCACTAGGCCACCAGCTATCCCTTTTTAGAATTGTTTGTTGTTGTATACCTTCGAGTTGGAACAGACCCATAGCTGACCCTTCAGCAGGTTTGCAGAGGCAGTTAATCACATGGGAGGAGATTGCCCATCCTTCTCCTGCAGAGCAGCTGGTGGATTAGAATTGTATGCCTTCAAGTATGCAGCACAGCTTCTTACACTAGGCCACCAGAGCTATTTTAGAATTGTTTTTGATCGCCTTCAATTCTAGTACGACTCATAACGAACCTGTGAACAAAAGGCCTGAAGCCTTTCTATAACTGTCATCATTTTACTAGAGTTTCTGGAGGCATGTTGTTTAGGAAGTCAACACTTTATGGTAACTTAAGTTAAATTTTTAACTGCCATTTGCAACATAGACTCAAGGTGGCCTTTAAAAGTATCATTCTGACTTGAGATATAGTGAACTATATCTTGAAACTAGTAAATATTATCTATAATTCTGCTTCTTTGTCTTAGCCTAATTTTTTCTAGCTCACAGTATTGTTACAGATCCATAATGGAGAATTTCTCTTCTAGCAGCCTTGGCATAACTTGGCCTTTAATATGGAAAAAATTACCCTTTTCAACTCCCCTGTTGTTCAGAAATTAAATCCAGTTAAATTCCAGAAAAGTTAGTGATGAAAACTGGTCAGAGAACTATGAGGCATAGTTAATGAACTAAAACATCATTTAAGGGACAGTAATTAAAGGATGATCAAATTTTACACTCCAACTGAGCAGTGTTAAGAAGAGCTTCAGGATCTCGGAAATCCAGTCCTCTTCTCTCTCAGCATCAGTCTCTAGGCCCCACAGTCTGTCATCTATTATTGCTTTCTCCCTCCTCATCTTTTTTGATCCAGCTTTTCTCCTTTTCTTGATATCCATATCATTTTTTCTTCTCCTTTCCCTTTTCTTTCCTACATGACTATAATGTGAAGCAGTTGTATTTGTTATGCACATGTTGTGTACTGTAGAATCAGAACTGACCCATAGCTGACCCTCCAGTGGATTTTCAGAGGCTGTTAATCGCATAGGAGGAAATTGCCCATCTTTCTCCCGCAGAGCAGCTGGTGGCCTCAAACTGCGTGTCTTCGGGATTACAGTGCACCCTCTTGCCACTAGGCCACCAGAACTCCCTTTGTTATGCACATACCTGAAATAAATATTTTTTGATCATAAAATTGAAAGTATTAACTTAATATTTTTTAAAAGTATTAAAATATAAATTAAAGGGGGAAAAAAACCCCCTGAATATGGGCCTCTGGATAAAACCCCACAGTATCTCACCAATCTCAGCTTGCCGTTTGAAGTCACTCCCACAGCTGTAGATGTCAGTGGCTATGAAAAGAGATCATTTTCATTTCTAAACTCGTCCTTAGGCCAGGTGATAGAACCTCATCTACTAAGACAGATCTCTCACAAACAGGACAAATTATTATCTGGGGCATTTTTTTTGAAGATGGATAATAAATGTATTTAAATTATTCTGGAACTTGTAAAGTAGCTTGTTGCATTTTGTAAAGAGGCATCTTGTCAACTGAAACTCTTTGGCTAACCAGTAGTCTAGGAATACAGGTGTTTAGTTCTTTTTTTTTCTTTGCTGTACAAATCTGTTTTGCTTTCTCGTAAATGAATATTGTGATGACTCATAGTTGATTTTTTTTAAATTGTCATCTTTTAAAAACTGAAGTGAAATTTTTTGTTTGTTGTTGTAATATGCCGTCAAGTCGTTTGCGACTCATAGCGACCCTATGTACAACAGCCCTAAACCCTGCTCTGTCCTGTGCCAATCG